CCAGGTCTCTGTAACTACAGGCTTTCGTGTGATTTATTCCCTTGTTCCAGGACCGACCGCAGGGCCCCATCGCATGGAGCCCAATTCGGCTATACCTTCCAGCGCGGTCGGTCATTTTATTCCCTCCATGAATTTCCCGAACCCCTGGTCTGATCTGGGTGATTTTTGGATATGTTGTTCACCCAGATCAGGGCTACCAGGTGATGTATAATTTAAAGTGGTACCCCTAGGTTTACGGGTACATCGAGAAAAAGGGGGAATTGGTGTCCTGGATAAGGGGATTATGATGCAGGCTGAGGGGAGGGGATGTGTGGGAGGTTACCGGAACAGGATTGGATACTGTAGCAATTGATGGAAATCCCTCCCTTGCATGGGAGCATGCTTTATAAGGCCACTGTGAAATAAAGGTTTTAGTTCTGCTGCTGATACTGTGTGTCGTCCAGTTATTGGGATTGCTGTTGGGATACGGCTGGATTATTTTACCTGCTGGAAACCTTGCTTTATGGATTTATAATTACTTGTTCCTGAGCCTTACTGGGATCTTAAGCGGAGATAACCTGTGGAATACTGGATCTCCGCTACATCCACCATATGCACAAGTCCGTGCCATCCTCCGACCCACATCTCCAGCACTGGGCTGTTGGCGTTAGGCCCATGTGGTGTAGTCTAGCGGGCGTCCTGTACCAGCCGGTCAGGAGCTTGTAGTTAAGCTCCCTAATTTTGGTGTCAACTGTTCCCAGGTGTGCCAGAGTATGAATCTTCTCCCCATCGGCGTCTGACAGGCCCATCCCCATCGCTTGTTCCCACTGTGACTGGTAGGGGGCCGGCGGCAGCCGCATGGCCCTGAGCAGGGTGGCATAGAGGACAGAGATGCCCCATGGTAGGTGTGACCCCCCCCCATGCACAGTGACTCAAAGTATGTCAGGTCCCTGTGTATAAGCCAGGTAGCGCGCGGCATGAGTTTCGGCTCTGGTGATATCGGAACCGCAGCAGCCCTGTGACCCGCGCTTGTGACTGCAGAGACTCAAGAGGACGGACCTGGCCGTTCACGCACCAGTCTCTCAAGTGCAATTCGCCCAGATTTCCCAGACCTTCCACATCTTTCGGCGCCAGGCCTCCAGCTATCTCCGGATTGTAGACTACCGGCGTCAAGGGGGACTGGTTGGTGGAGAGGTTCAGTTTGAACCGCAGGTTTGACCATACTCTCAGTGTCGTTCCAATCAGCGGGTGCTCCCGGATGTCCCTAGCTTGTAGGGGGCGGGGGAGCCACGCCACCCACGGGAGTCGCCCCGAGGCCTGCGTTCCAGGTGGACCCAGTGCTTGTCCATCTGGAGGACGTGCCAGTCCACTAAGCGAAGTAGATGGGTGGCGAAGTAATAGGATTGCAGGTCCGGGAGGCCCACCCCGCCTAAGTGTTTCGGCTGGCTGTCCTCGCTTTCCACACAAATCTTCTGATGTCCGTATTCATGGTGTTAAAGAAGGCCTGGGGGAGTCGAACTGGAATGGTCTGAAAGAGGTACAGGAGTCTCGGTAAAAGGTTCATTTTGATGGCATTGATTCTGCCGAACCATGAGACGCAGGATGCACCCCATCGCAGCATATCTGAGCGTAGTCTTGTTTGTAGCGGCAGGAAATGATCGCGATAAAGTACATTCAGGTCCCTCGTCAGCCAAATGCCCAGGTATTTAATATGGTGCGGACACCACTTGAAGGGGAAGTTTGCTTGCAATCGGGGTAGCAGGCCCGTTGGCAGACGCAGCGGGAGTGCCTCGGACTTGTCCGTGTTTAGTTTCAAATTAGACAGCGTACCGTATGTCTGGAAGGCCCTGAGGAGGTTCGGCAGGGTGACCATTGGATTCTCGACAAAAAAGAGTAGGTCATCGGCATATGCTGCCACCTTGTGTGTCCTGTCGCCTATTTCGACTCCTGCAACGCTCCCGTCTTACCAGGAATGGTTCCAGCGTCAGGACAAACAGGTGGGGGGACAGGGGGCATCCCTGTCGCGTGCCGTTCTGGATCTCGAAGGGCGGGGACAGGGAGCCATTGATCCGTAGCCGGGCCCTTGGGGCTGTATACAAGTTTGAAATCCAGAGCAACACGTGTGGGCCAAACCCCATGGCCCGCAGGGTCTCCCACATGAATTGCCAGTCCACCCGGCCAAACGCCTTTTCGGCGTCGGTTGAGAGGAGGAAGCTACCGCGGGCAGTATTCCGGGTGGCGTGGATGATGTTGAGGGCTCGGACTGTATTATCCTTGGCCTCCCGGCCCGGGATGAAGCCCGTCTGGTCCGGGTGCACCAGGATGGTGGCCACACGGCCCACCCGAAGGGCCAAGATTTTAGTAAAAAGCTTGAGATCCGAGTTGAGGAGGGAAATGGGTCTGTAGCTAGTGCACGCAGCAGGGTCCTTCCCCTCCTTCGGGATGACCACCACCGTCGCCATGAGGGTATCCCCCGGGAGCCTCCCCCCCTCCAGGATAGAGTTCAGTCCTGTTAAGAGTTCGGGCATGAGGATTTCCATTAAATGCTTAAGGTATCTAGCGGGGAGGCCATCTGGGCCTGGCGCCTTGTTGATCTTGGTGGCCTTAAGGACACCTAGGAGCTCACCCAGTGTGATTGGGGATTCCAATTCCTCTCTTTGAGACTGTGAGAGCTTCCAGTGGACATGGCGTTCCAGGTAGTCGCGCATCTCCAACAACCTCGCTTCCGTCCCCCTCTCTGCCAGGAGGCCATAGAGTTTAGTGTAAAAGGTCTGGAATTCAGCAACGATTTGGTCTGGGAGCCTTTGCCCTGGGTCAGAAGTGTAGTAATCTGTGACAATCTCCTCTTCTTTTGTAGCATTTTGGCCAACCTTCGACCGCATTTATTTGAGTGTTCATAGAGGTACCTGCGCGATTTACGTAGTGTGTGAGTTAATTGTTGCGTAAGGAGCTTTTTGAGGTCCCGATGTGCTTCCATTAAAGCCTGATAAGCGTCTTCCGCCTGGGTCTCCCTATGGTTCCGTTCCAATTGCGCGGTACATGCGTATAGCTCCGCCAGCCGTTTGAGATGTTCCTTTTTGCGCATGGTGCATAGCTTGATGAAATGGCCTCGGACAACACATTTATGCGCTTCCCATCTCATCAATGGAGATACATCTGGGGTGGTGTTAGTGTCAAAATAGTGGCGCAGCACTGCCGCCGTCTCTGCGGCAAGCAGCGGGTCTCCCAGGACTTGCTCATTAAGCCTCCACGGTCTGCCGCTGGGTTTGAACAAGGGGGAGCGGATCGTGACCAGGATCGGGGAGTGGTCCGACCAGACCGCCACTTGGATCTTGCACGTCTGGAGGAGATGAAGGAGCTCCTGGGACACGAAGACATAATCAAGGCGACTGTACCCTCGGTGGGCTGTAGAGTAATAGGAGAAGTCCTTGTCTTCCGGGTGCAGGACCCGCCAGGTGTCTGCCAGGCCCGCCTCACGCAGCGCGCCCTTGGTAATCCTCCAGCAAGTGTCCGAGTGTGCTGAGTGTCCTTTGGACATATCCCAGCGGGGCTCCAGTGGGACGTTGAAGTCTCCTGCCACGACAAGGAGCCCCTCTCGAAAACGATCCAGCGCCTTCAGGGTTCTTGCAATGAAGCGGTGTTGATTCATGTTCGGAGGGTACAGGGAAGCAAATGTGTAGGTCCTTGTGACGAAGTGCCCTTCACCACTTGTGTCTGGAGAGGACTGCTTGCCCGCCTCTTGCCCTGTGACTATGGACCCTGGGAGATTTGGCCCGTTCAATTCAGTATGATAGGAGTTATGTATTTTTGTATTCTTTTGTGTTTTACTGGGAACATGTGCTCAATGGAGTCTGCTTCTATCCCTGGATAATTGGATTACTTTCCCCATTGTCTCCAAGCTAGAGGGCTCTGTAAAACCAGTTTGGACCAGATAGCCATGCTGCCAGCCAGGCCCCAAAGGATACTTTACTAACTTCTTAACCCCTGGTCTGATTCATTCTGATTCTGATTTTTTGATATGTTGTTTCCCTGAATGGATTGATTGTGAATATATATTTTTTATGTGAATGTGATGTATATTTTAGAAGTTATGAATATGCTGTAAAAACTGTATTATTTCTGGCCAGCAGATAATTGAGCTTTGTGTATTGTAGAAACTCAATTATCTAGCCTGGCCCAGAGGAGGAGTTTTGTGTTGCATAAATTGTGAGTTCTGTGTGCCAGTAAATCAGTCTTGTTCCAGCATTAAGCCTTGGCTCATGTTTGGGGGATTGGAGAAATACACTCTGGGGATTGCTATAATCACTATACTCCCCAGGGTATGATCACTAAGTTCTGCTAAGAGCTTGTTCCTGTTCCTGCTCTCTGGGGAAAGAGAGGTTCACCCACTGGAAGCTGGATCCTGGCCTTGGGTCCAGGGTGGGTGGAGACAGCAGAGACCCCGGCGCAGTTGCATCACTGGAAGTGGGGTCTGCAGTGCTGATGGTGGTGGTTGGAGTGCTTGGAGTCCTCAGCGAGCACTAGGAGCATCGATTGGCGGAGGTACTCAGTCGGAGTGCCAGCGTTCCGTCACAGTCCTCTCTGCCAGTGTACCTTTGAGGAACAGATAGTGACCGTTCGGGTCAGCCCTCTGCTCAGTACAGTGAAATGGTGTATGTTGAGCGAAAAGAATCGCCACCCCCGCTCGAGTCTGGGTGATTGGCAAAATATCCAGTGGGAAATCTCGAGTTTTGTAGGGCAGGCGGGTTCTGGCCTTTAAAATGGGTCTCTTGCAGGAAGGCCACCGATGCCCTAGCTGCCCACAGGGTCCGCAGTAGGTGGGAGCGGCGCTCCGGAGAGTTTAGCTCCCGGACATTATTGGTCCAGAGGCGCAGAGGGGCGGGGCTGAACCCCCCGCCGCCCGGCCAAGCCATCCAGATCCCCTAGGAGGCGTGGGGGGGAGGGGGACGTAGTGGGTCCGACGGCGGCGCCGACCTGTAAGTCTGTCTGTAAGTCACCCTAGCCCTAGTGAGTGTTATAACAAGGGCCTTGACCGTATGGGAAGAGATGTCCGTCCAATGGGGAGTCCCCACCCTAATACATGACTCTACCCCCGTCTCCCTTCCCGTAAGTACCCGCAGTCAGTCCTATGGGGATGTGCACGGTGTCCGCACGAGTGAGTGAGCTCTTTCACTCAGGTGAGAAGTAACCGTGAGTAGGGGTAAGACACAAGTAATCCCGGCTTCCCCGTCCCGGCCGACATCATTTGGGTTGAACACTCTGAACGAAAAACAGCGAAACCAGAACTTGGTGCTAAGTAAGTATCATCTAGGGGAAGGGGGAGGACCCCTCCGGGGCCACCAGGGTCAGGTAGAGGGGACCCCATTACAGGACTGTGTGGCCACAGGCCCCCAGATTGGGGAACACAGCACTATTTTCTCTGCATGTTAGGCTCCCAGCCCAACCCCCCCAGCCCCCGCCCCCCCACCCACACCAGCCCCCCCACGTCCCCTGCCCCATCAGCAGTCCCATCCGGCCGCATGGCCCCCGCTCCGCAGCCAGGCCCCAGTCCAGGCCCCCCCCAGGTCCAGCCAGCCACCCCACCCTCCCAACACCCCGACCCCCCCACCCAAAGTCCCTACGGTGAAGGGCACCCCATGGCAGTGAGGGACAGGAGTCAGGGAGGGGGGGGAGGCAGGCACCAGGGGGGAGAAGGCAGGGGGGGGATGGAGCAGAGAGGGGGGAGAGGGCGAGCAAACGGGAGAGGGAAGGGGGGGAGAGAAGGAGCCACTCAAGCCCGTCTAGCTGCCCCACCAATATCCGCTCCCAAGGTCCATTGTGAGGTCAAGAGGGGCTTCATCCCGAGGCCGCCAACCACCCAACCTAGTTCCTAGGTCCCTCTAGGGCCCTCCAGCTCCCCAGCCCCGGCGGATCCCCAGTACCTTCCTCCGTGTCCCGACTCCCCGCAGCCCAGGCAGTCTATTCTTCCACCCCGGAGGGGCCACCCCACATCCTCCTGGGGGGCTCACTCATCGGGGGTCTCGCGGTATGTGGGTCTGGGTCCTCTTGGTGGCTCCTCTGTGCCAACGGTGACTCCAGCAGCCAATTCCGTATGCGGAGAGGTGGAATACGAAGGACCCTCAGTGCCGGGGTCATGTCGTCTAGCCAGTGGATGTGGAGCCTGGAGTTGCCGTGCTTGATTTGCAGGCTGAAAGGGAACCCCCAGCGGTATGTAATGTGCCTGTCTCGGAGGATAGTAGTCAGGGGTCGGAGAGCCCTCCGTGCGTCCAGGGTCAGGCTGGAGAGATCTTGATAGAGCGCCCATAAAGTTAATCATATCCACTCCTCTGGTGGCGGACATCAGGGCCTCCTTCAAGCTGTAGGCATGCAGGCAGCAGAGGACATCTCTGGGTCTCCCGTCTTGGCGTTGGGGACCCAGGGCCTGTTGCACTCTATCCAGTTGGATGTCTGCAGAGGACTCCCTGCCCAGAATTTGCGCAAAGATGGCCCGGACTGTGTCCGTGAGCGGTGTGGAGTCTGGCTCCCGTAAGCCCCGGATTCGTATGTTGTGCCAGCGGCTATGATTCTCCAGGTCTTCTACCTGGAGGCATAGCGTGAGGAGGAGATTGCCCTGGCGTGTAGTGGCCAGCTCTGTGGCTCTGTGCTGCATTTGGCAGGTCTGCGCTTCTGTCTCTAGGGCGTCCACACGTACCTCCACCACGGTTAGATCTGTGCGCAAGGCCGCCAGCTCCTCCCTCACTGCCGCTCGGAGTTCCTGGATGAGGCCCCCGGTGTCTGTCTTGGACAGCATGCGGTCCGAGATGGCAGCCAGTTCCTGGCGGATTAAGGTGAGTGTGTCCTCCCTGTTCTCCCTCTCTGCGCTGGTTCCCGCGCTTCCCGCGCTCGGGGAGCCCGGCGCCATCTTGTCTGCAACACTGGCGGTCCGGTGCTCGGGTTGCGAGGACACAAAATAGTCCAGTGTGTCCTTGTGTTTGCGTGGGGAGCTGGCTGCCGGTACGCCCAGGGGTAAGAGCTTCTTGTTTCGGACCATGCTATGACTGTGTTCGGCTTGATTTTTGCTAACGAAGCGGCACGGGGCGAGGAGCTGAAGCACTACATGTCCAGCTCCATGCTTGGTCCGGCCACGCCCCCCAAATATTTTTTGATTCTTTATTTTTGTTGTGCATGGAATTACAATTAAGCTTACAATGCCACAACAGAATAAGTTAGCATTCCAGATAACAGGTATGAGCACGCAAGAACATGGCATTCGGAATAACTGACCATTACTCGAAAATAATATTGAGTAATACATGTATGTGATACATCAAATAGTTTGGAAGACAGAATACATCGTATCGTACAATATGCAAGGAACGTCACATGCTGAATTTTGCATTGTTGTAACATTGTGGTTCATTGGAATCATTCGTTGTGAAACTATTGCACAAATGAAATTCGACCAAAGCAAAACACCACATGAACAAAACCCAAATTGCCTGACACTGAAATTTTCCGCCTTGTGCAAGTGTACTACATATTAAATTTGATTACAGATGAAAAAGATGCACTCAGAAGAAAGCAGCACTGCACTCAAAAGAACTTAATGGAATAAAAAAAAAAGAGAGATATCCGAAGAACGAGTATCCTTGTAGTGAATGTAGTGCAGTTTTATTTTATTTTCCCTTCTTTGGGGTAGCAACACACACCTCTCCTTTGCTTTGATTTGCTTTTATGTAATTTTTTTACATTATTTTTCACTTTTTTGTGTGCTTGTGTTTTTTTAATATGGTTTATGACTTCCCATATATTTATGTATTGACTTATAATATCAATGCCCTTGTATATGCTGGGTAGAGATCTATCTATTTAATGTGTTAATTGCTCACACTACTCTTCGTGTTTTTATAGGCTAAAGAAGATGTAGAACCTTATGCTAGCGACATTCAGAAAGCTAATACTGTCTACTGTTCCATTCCGGCTGCTGGCTGCATTCAGAAAGCTAATACTGTCTACTGTTCCATTCCGGCTGCTGGCTGCATTCAGAAAGCTAATACTGTCTACTGTTCCATACCTGCCGCTGGCTGCATTCAGGAAGCTAATACAGTCTACTGTTCCATTCCTGTGAGCTGATCCAGAAAAAAAAACATGAAATGGAAGCTGATTTTTATGGATCTTAGACATTATGTCATATTTAACATGCCTTAAGGACATATGACGGAAATATTCCGTCATGATTCATTTTATTTCAGATGTGTCCTTAAAGGACCACTATAGTGCCAGGAAAACATACTCGTCTTCCTGGCACTATAGTGCCCTGAGGGTGCCCCCACCCTCAGGGTCCCCCTCCTGCGGGGCTCTGGGGAGAGGAAGGGGTCAAACACTTACCTTTCTCCAGCGCCGGGCGGGCAGCTTTCCTCCTCCTCTCCTTCTTCCTAGCGACATCATTGGCTGAATGCGCATGCGCGGCAGGAGCTGCGCGCGCATTCAGCCAGTCTCATAGGAAAGCATTCATAATGCTTTCCTATGGACGCTGGCGTCTTCTCACTGTGATTTTCACAGTGAGAAGCACGCAAGCGCCTCTAGCGGCTGTCAATGAGACAGCCACTAGAGGCTTTAGAGGCTAGATTAACCCTCAGTGTAAACATAGCAGTTTCTCTGAAACTGCTATGTTTATAAAAAAAAAAAAGGGTTAATCCTATCTGGACCTGGCACCCAGACGACTTCATTAAGCTGAAGTGGTCTGGGTGCCTATAGTGGACCTTTAAGGGGGTAAATGTATAGAAATTTAAATTATGTGAAAACGTTGGTTAAAACATTTGTTCCTTGTTGGAAATAGATACTATATCAAACATTCTGTAAGCTCTATCTATCTATCTATCTATCTATCTATCTATCATCTATCTGTCTATCTATCTATCTATCATCTGTCTGTCTGTCTATCTATCTATCTATCTAACATGAATATGCTAGGTGGATTACATTTTTTACAACTCATTATTAATTAATTATTAATTACTAACAATCAACTGAACAGGAAAATAGACTGTGGGATGGCAGTAGTAAATCAGGATGGTTGAAGACTCCCGTGCTGAGATTATTTTGAGTTAACATGCACGCTATACATTGATGATATATTGGGAAAAATCAGGAGCTAAAACAAGCAGGATAAAAATACATTACCTAAGCATTATTCTCACTCCAGCTCTTCACATCTTCTATAAACAGTTCAAGCTGAGCCTTTTTGTCACACCACTTCTCTACATCTGTGCCCAGCTCTACACAACTTCCATAACCCACCATAGCTGAAAGGTTTGCTTTCTTCCCCATTCTGCATGTTTTATGACCCACATCTGTGGAACATCACACCTTCTAAAACCCATACAAACTTAGCACTGTGTTCTCTTTATCTTTTAACACCTTCTAAAACTCACACAAGCTGATCATTATGTTGGCACCGGTTCTTGATTCATTCTAAACACCATACTGTCTGAGCTATGACCATCCCTCCCCTCGGTGTGTCTGTAACCTGCACTATCTGAACAGTATAACTTCTGTCCTATTCCTACAAATGTACTTTCAATTCACCAACATGGAATATATGTGACTGAAATCTTCCCCAAATTTTAAATTAATGTATGTAATAATGTATTTAAAATGAAGAATGTATTGTAAATAAAAAAATCATGTATGTTTTATTTTAATAGTTTTCTTCTTTCTTATTAGGTAAACATGTTTGCATTTCTAAAAACTTTTCAGTGCATTCTCAAATGAATTCATTAAATAATTACAGAATATCATAAATAGAAAACACTAAAATAGTCAAACCACCCAAGTCACCTGTATCTGGTAGTGACACCAAAGATACACTCATAAGATATAAGAATCCTCATACCCTATGGTAATTCTTACTTTTATCTCTCAAACACGTCTATCTGTCCATTTTACAAGCCCTATGGCACTTGTCTCCTCTCTCACTTTTCAAACAACCTGGATCTTCTTGTCTTCACTCACTTGAGCATTCTTAAGGCGTGGAGACTTTGATAAGATCTTGAGACAGAGGGAGTCTAGGTGGATATATGAGCTGAAGACACTCCAACCTCTAGGTTTGAATGAAGGTTTTTCATTTGCACCGTTCATCTAATCATCTAGAATGGAGTGCCTCGGCTCATTATCCACCGGGATATTGTCCTTTGATCATACTGAGTATTTTTTTTACCTGCCAGCCATAACTATTATGTTCTTGATCATTTGTAAATACTGTTTAGGCTTATTACTTTGAATTAAAGGCCTTTCGATTTTTTGAATCTACGCTCCCCCATCCCCCTGTTGTCTATCTCCTCCCCTATATGTAATTTCCATAAACTATATGGCTCTACTCTGTCTTATGGTCTGAGACATAACCTATTGCAACTGTAAGTAGAGCGGCTAATTACCCACTTGATAATCTGAGAAAGTTTTATATTGAGTATATTAATTTAAATAGAATCTCTTTATTTAAGTGGGTTTTATATCATATGAGTTGTACCAGTAGGTTTGATTAATCAACTAGGAATTGGGTATTCCTTTGACATAAATATACCTTACTCAACTCATATTCTGATATTATAGATCGTGAAAAACATTGATATGGAGTTGACACAATACAGGCTACATTCTACTTTTGATCAGTGCCACAGTCCCTCTTTAGTTCCATGTTTGTACGTATGACGGGATCGGCAGGTCGACTAGCCAATTTGCATAGTACGGCCATTTTACGGCCATAGTACAGTCCCTGGAATGACTGATGGCACTGTATGAGGGTCTCGGCAATTCTTGTGTTCCTTTCTACCCCCCAAGAAGTATTTTACATACACTTTCGCGGGGAAGGAGAAAGCTTTGTCACTTGTAGCCACTTGAGAAAGGTGGTTTATCCGCCGAAACGCGCGTTGGGCTACTTTTTTCTTTTTTGATGCTGCTACACTGTTGCTCTGTAGCATCCTACTCTTTTGTTTCGTGTACTGTGGCCATTTACTATTTCTATTTACTGGCTGGTCTTTCTTATATAGCTAGGGTACCTGTATTTGTATTTTAGGGATATCCACAGTGGAAGTGTCCCTTTCTCTATTGTCTATTTTTGGGGACCCTCCTGTGGATTCTTTTTCCCTTACTCTTTATTTTTCATTCTATTTTTTCACTATACTCTTCTCTCTGTCCTTTCGATTTCTTATTTTGAGATAAGACTTTTTGAGGGGGCAGTTTTGAATAATAATTATTATTTTCTGATTCATAAGGGGATTTGTGTGTTATTTTTGATCGATTTATATACTAGGACACAGTTCACTAACTCTGTGATTATCATTCACATTTTTCCATCCTGTGAGTACATATTGATGCATTGTTCCCACGATCTAACTACTATGTCTGCTACAAGTGTGGCAACTCTGTCTCAAGCCCCCACGGGTTGATTTAATTGTGACTGATTGCTGGTATTATCCAGCTTATACATATCCTTATTTTGTGGGATGTTTACTTTATTTATTTTTGTGTAGCTTATGTCATATTTATATTAAAGTTCTTTTTAGTTATACTGGCCTGTGTAGTTATAATTTTTTCTGGGGTAGCTCTAGTGGGAGGGTTCCCCTCGTCATGTTACGGGAGGACTTCTCCTTACTACTTTTTTCTATTAGTGTGTATATAGGGTTATGCCCTTTTTTGCTACCCCTTTAACCCACCGTTTTTACTACTTGATAGGGTTTGCTGGTATATTTTTTGTTGTATGTCACTTGAGCATTCCTCTCCTTCCCTTCTTACTAGCAAGCAGAATCTTATGGTATGTAGCCTGGGGCTGAGAAAGAGGTGGATGTAGTGAGTATAGCAGAAAGGGGACATGTCACATTGTTAGAAAGTTAGAAACAGCAAGATACAATGTGCAAAGTCAGCTATTATTATTTTATAGTCAGCAACACAAGTTCTGTTTCCCTGCATCCCTTGTGCAGTCCCTGTACTGAAAGGAATGCTCCGGACCCATGAAGTACTTTAATATTCCATCTATGATCTCTTTTCTCAAAGTCTTCATGGTGTCTTTGAATTTACAGTTGGAGTGAAATTTGAGAAATGTATTAAATGAAAGAAATCCAAATCTTTAAGTGTTAGTTAACAAAATATGCACGATATGTGCGTTACTTTAAAGAAAGGTGTCTATTTTTAATTCTACTTAGACTAAAATGATGATTACGGAATCTTTGGAAGAATAAACAAATTTGTCTGGTAACCAAGCTTCATTAGTCAGTGGATAATATGCAAACTTGTGACAACATAGCAATTAGAACCAAAGAATGTGTTTCCTTCATATCATCTTATGACATGTGAGCAGGAAATCTAAAACTACTCATGAAGTTCAAAAATAGGAACCTTCCATTCACTACATCTAATCTATTCGGAGCAGGGTACCGCTGCGTGTCTTTTGTAATACAGAAAAGTCTTCTGTTTTAATATTGGAAGAACTCTTCTACAGACTTGCCATGATCGCATCAAGCTCCATGTTTGACACTGTAAACCCAAATACTGCATAAAGAAGAATCATTTGGACATGTGTTGTCGACATATCCTGCGTCTTGGACTTATTCTCATCGTATTTAGTGTCGCGAATCAAGCTACATGTGAGTCTTTTTTTCCGTTTTCTGATGATTTTGAAATCAGTTCTAGAGAATCATCGTCCAGATAAAAAAAGAACCGAGTAATCTCTAGAATTCTGAGTCATTTTTCCATGTTATGTTAACGTACCATGTGTTTAAGACAGAATAATGCTAGTCTGACATTTGAGGGTATAATGCTAGCTAGTTGTTACACCAATAGGATAATACAAGTCTGTTCTTTTTTTTTTTTTCTTGGTAGGATTTAAAGAGGTCATGCTAAATCAATATTTACTGAGAATGCTTATAATCTTTCTTTCTTTCTCTCTTTCTTTCTTTCTTCCTTTCAATTTTTTTTCCACCTGTAGTTTACAGTTCTAGTAAACTGTAGGAGGTATGGAGGTGTCTGCACGATTATAGTCATCAAGCCAAAAAGGGGTTTCCCTGAAATACAGTTTTAGAATTCAGTGCAATACAAGTAACAGGGTGAGATTTATCAAGGTAAAGCAGATGCGACTATGGGAAAATAGCCAAATAAGACGAAATTAGAAAGGAAACCAATAGGATAACTCTAAACATTTTGTACTTTCCCCATTAGTTTCAATTTGTCTTACCATTTCTAATCTAAATTATGAGTGGGGGGAGGCAGGAGGGAGAGGGGGGAAAGGTCAATCTTTAAACATGTTTCACGTCCATATCCAGAAACATTTGTTACAATTAATTAGATGAGTTCAAATATCATAAGACAGATGTGTCCTATTGCTTGTAACATTATTAGTGATTGTGGCTATTTCAGGTAAATTTTCTATACTTTTCGAAATCTATCAAAATAATGAAATAAAATTGCTACTAATTTTATTAAAATATTAAGTTGCTAAAGGAACAGAACAGAGCGCCCCTTTGTTTTATATTATAAAAGCTTTTTTTGAAAAAGCCTTTATAACTTTATAAATCTCCTAGGTTGCATGCTCAGACCGCTGGGAGTGTTTCCCCACATTATATGAGTGGAAGATAATGCTTCTCTTAGCCATGCCCGTACTAGACTCCAAAGCTTCACTATGAAAAGTACTGGATTGGCTTGAGAGATCTTCACTAGTGAGGATCTCCTGGAGGTAGAGTAGAACTTTGATGTGAAGACTCAGAACTATATTGGAGTAACTAATTCGTTTTTTGTATAGTAACGGAGGGAGCTAAATCTAAATTGACAAGTAAATGCTGCAGCATTATAAATAAATGTATTTCTTACTAATACTGGAATGTTCCTTCAATGGCAAAAATAATAAACAAGTTACTTGTTAGGAATCATTTAGAAAAGGTCAGCTGGGTGGAGTGTGACCAAATTGTTTGTTGGGTGTAGCGGAGAGCTGATATTCAACAGGTTATCTCCACTTAAGATCCCAGTGAGGCTCAGGAAAAAGTATTATAAATCCATAAGGCAAGGCTTTCAGCAGGCAAAACAATCCTACAATATCCCAACATCAATCCCAATGACTGGACGACACACAGCATCAGGAGCACAACTGATCTTTTAATTCACACAAGCTTCTTATAAAGCATTCTCCCATGCAAGGGAGGGATTCATCATAATTAAGACAGTAGCCAATAATGTCACAGTTACCTCCCACACATCTCCTCCCCTCAGTGTGACACATAATCCCATTAATCATGCTGTACTTTCCCCCGAATTCTGGATGTACCCCAAAACAGCTGGGTACAATGGGCTAAGTTGCACCCCTTGGTAGCCCTGATCTGGGTGACAAACATATCCAAAATTCACCCAGATCAGACCAGGGGTTCGGGAGTTAGGTGGAAGAGACAATTTGACCGACCGCACACGAGGTGGTAGCCGAAAAGGGTTCCATGGGTTTTGGCCCTGCGGTCGGTCTCCGTTCAGGAGGTAAAATACACATAACTACATGCCATCCACTATTAATCTTGTATTCGCATAAATCCCCTTGTTCGGTACTTTTAACTCACCGAACGGGGGGCTGATTAGCCTCTCCGTTCGGGAGTTATGGAGCTCTGGAGGTCTCAGCAGTGTTCGGGTAATTGAGTGTCCAATTTGAGTTCCAGACACTCGACGCCCAAACACCGCTGAGGGTTCGTTTGTAAGATGGCCCAAATACATGCATAAAGTACCAATTAACATGCGGTTAGAGCAGTGTGAAGCCTAATAAGGTGCACACTTCTCTCTGGGGTGGTCTACTGGTTCAGTAGTTTCATTCATATGGGATACGGATGAAACTACCGAACAATCATACGAATGCTACATACACTTTTAACTATACAGGAAAATAAACACACGAATTACAGTTTTAACACAGTCTTTTAGGACAGCTGTAATACCATCCGCTACATTGGGTATGAAACTTCTAGAATATTTTCAATGTTATGCAATGTACCCATCCATACTACCATTATTGAGAGTCGTTAGAGATTGGTTTACTGTACTGCTATCCTGTCCAAGACATATGGGAGCAATTCATTGATCTATAATGCCTTCCTCTTCCTCCCTACATTAATGGGTATATTTTGCACAATGTCCATGTATTTACCAGATAAATTTCCATCTGTTAAAGGACCACTCTAGGCACCCAGACCACTTCAGCTTAATGAAGTGGTCTGGGTGCCAGGTCCTTCTAGGGTTAACCCATTTTTTCATAATTATAGCAGTTTCAGAGAAACTGCTATAATTATGAATGGGTTAAGCCTTCCCCCTAATCCTCTAGTGGCTGTCTCATTGACAGCCACTAGAGGCGCTTGCGTGCTTCTCACTGTGAAAATTACAGTGAGAGCACGCCAGCGTCCATAGGAAAGCATTGTAAATGCTTTCCTATGCGATGGGCTGAATGCGCGCGCAGCTCTTGCCGCGCGTGCGCATTCAGCCGGCGGGGCGGAGAGGAGGAGGAGAGCTCTCCGCCCAGCGCTGGAAAAAGGTAAGTTATTACCCCTTTCCCCCTTCCAGAGCCGGGCGGGAGGGGGTCCCTGAGGGTGGGGGCACCCTCAGGGCACTATAGTGCCAGGAAAACGAGTATGTCTTCCTGGCACTATAGTGGTCCTTTAATGCAGTTACACTACATCGCTCAACACGACTACTTCTAGCTTTCACAGTTTTCATAGTTTGATGGACTGTTCATCAACTTCACCTAATCTTCAGTAGACTATGGAGTCTACCTTGTATGTGAGTAGCAACATGCAGCCATTACTTCCAAATGACAAATGTTGAAGAGCGTGGGAGAATGAAGTGGGGCTTCCATTTATAGTCCCTGTTTATAGTCCTGTTTATAGTCCCTCTGCAGAGACGCAGAGGGAAAAGGAATGGAAACTTGGCAGAGAAATGTATATTTGTGTAAAAACAGATCTGTATCGTAGAGGAATTTAAGTTGGGTTTAAGAAAAAAAAGAAAATCTCTAAGAGCATGGTTGGTGCTTGGAGTCTTCCTAGAAGGACATTCATGGGGAATAAACTAATTCAAAGTATGGGTGTTTGTATGAATTTCAAAGGAAAGAGGAAGAGACACATTGTGACACTTTTAACCAGACACATTTTAATTACAATAATTTGACTCTTCTAGTCTGCCAATTTCCTTTTAAAAATGCAAGCATTGTTTCTAATTTTGTTTTACCAACATGATTTTCCTGAGTCATGCTGACTGGTTCATCTGTTTTTTGGTTGTTATTTTTTTTAACTATACCATCTGCTTTATTTCGAATACCTGTTATCCTAAAAAACAATACACAACGTAGATTCCAATGCTTAAAAAATTAGGAATTATAATTCATATTAAAGTGTTACAAATCCTTATGTGTCTATCAAAAAATAATAATAATTAGATTAAAATACTTAATAGTGAAGGAAATGTTGTTTCTAAACAATTCATAGACGACTTGATGAGGAAAGGGCTTACAGTGCAGTCAACAGTTACATTACTGCTTACTGTAATTTATTTAAAACTATCCTTTGACCAAGGATTTATTTGATTGTGCCATTTTTTTCTCAAAAAAAGAAGGGTGTACTTGTTGCTTGTCTGCTCTTGGTATCACAATACGCAAAACTTTTAGCACAATTTAGCTCATGATGAGCATTCATCTTTTGTATGAACTGCAGCAGCTATAGAGCTTTGACTCTTTAATTATTGAGGAAGAGTGAGTTGAATATAAGTATTACAGATAAGAAGATTCATCATCCATGTAAGTAATAGAATTAAGTACTCACCAGGTGCACAGATGAGCTTTTAAAATAGCTATAGCTTGTGTTGTGTTGATGTGTACTAAACTGTACTGTGTATAATGTGAGGTCATTTCAGCAGAACACCTACTAATCTAAAAATCAATTTCAAAAATATTGACTAGAAAATGCCACTATACCTTCTCTATCTTCCACCTTCACTCGTATTCTTACTCACATTTTCAACCTCTTCTTTGTTTTTTTCTCATGTACAATGTGGCCGAAGGTGTTGGTGCTTTATAAATAAAGTATAATAAAATAATAACATAAATCATTTTCTTTTATCCTTTCTCCAGATACTCCTTTGTCTGTATATATTGGGGAGGAAGCTGTCCTTTCCTGTGGACATGACCCAGGAAACAGTTTAATAGTCTTAAACTGGATTATTAAACCAACAGATCAACGACAGTGCACCATTTCATACGATACCGAGGACAACCAAACACAGAACAACTGTAGTAAAAGGATTACATTTGACAATTTTTCTCTTCATATATTCAACAGCAAACCAATCGATGATGGATTCTATCGCTGTGAAATTTCCGATCCAACTGGAATATTCTATATGACGTTTATTTTGCAAGTATTAGGTAAATTCTATCTTTTTCTTTTATATTTTCAATCTTTTTCTATATTTCCCCTAACTGGTAAAGGCTCTTGAGTTCTAAGCATTAAGTTTATCTAAACATTGTGGTATCTGAGCAGGTAGCACAGATATAGACTAACAGATATTTAAATGTATATCAGTGATTCAATAAACTGCGAATTGTGATGTGTGGACTATAACCGTTATTAGAAAAATTATAAACAAATGATAACAACAGCCTATTTTTTCCAGTTTGGCTGTTTTAGTCTAGAATTTGCAACTCGTTAGTCAGTTCTTCACAAATTCTGGGTTATTGAACGTCCCCTGTACTCCCAAATCTATTAACATTGTAATCATCCACAAGCTAAGGGACTGTATACACATGTTAACAAATTTGCATATGTGGGTTTTAACCCCTTAAGGACACATGACTGACATATTCCATCATGATTTCCTTTTATTCCAGAAGTTGTGTCCTTAAGGGGTTAAGTTGAATGTTGAGAGTGTGTGAATGTCTACGTGAAAAAAAATGGGTCTAAATGAGTGACATTTGGCAAATGTTGGGTGATGAAGGAGCAGGGGAGGGCTAGGTATATTTGGCCTGGGGGGCAACTTTAATAAATAGTCCAGGTTCAGACCAGATCAGCAAACTCCACTCTTTTAAAAGTTATAGAGTTATACTAATACTGGAAGATCAATAATGCTATAATATTACCATTATATGATATAGTTTAATATTGTGCTGTTAGGGCAACAGCCCACTATCCTCTCTATTCTAGCGGCCAGGCGTGGTGATTTCTCCCTGATCATTGCCAGACTCAATCCCCACTCCGCTGAGCAGGGTGGTCATGCTATTGAAAAAGAGGATGAAATGGATGGTTGAAGAGGAAGATAATTAGTTGGGAGACAGGAGATTTGATATGAGTAGCTGGTTATGCAGGTTTAGGGTACATAAGCCAAAGTATAATGTTAAGGAGCAGAGTTTCTCTTACTCAGGAATAATTCAAATTATTAAAGTATGGAGTGAATATCAACTATATATTTGAGCAATTTCAAATATTAAATCTTTATGACATAGGATGAAAAACGATGTGCGTCTGTCAATTTCAGCCTTTCTCACATTTGTTTTCGCTGTTGATACAAAATAAGGCAAAAAAGACAGTTTGAAGCGCTTCCAATCTTGCAACAAACTAGACCCCAAAATGGCAGTTAGATCTCTCATTGGATCAAGAAAATATTACCCTACCTTTCAAAAACTATATTCCCGGATATTATGTTTACAAGAATTCTTCAAATTGCTATTTAATCATCTGTGCAGACTCAGATTAAACCAATTCTTCAGGCAGAATTCCACTTTGTTATTATTCTCACTGTAGAGAACACTTTCCTATGTCTTATACGAAAACTCCTTTCTACCAGTCTAAATAGGTGACTGGAAGAAGGGAGATTTTGTTTAAGACAAAGGAAAGGGTTTTTTGTTTTTTTTTACAATAAGAACAACAGTTACATTTTATAAATCTATTAATATGAAATGGGATAGTGGATGAGAAAAAAAGAGAGAAAACAAAACAAAACATATATATGATGATAGAAATGCCTAAAAGCAAAGACTGGATATTCAAAGAGATTCTAATGGCTTTGGGTTCTAACATGAAATTACCTTACTAACAGAAAAAAACACTAATCATATACACTGATCAACCACAAAATAAAAACCACATGCCTAGTATCGCATAGGTTACCCTCGGGCTGCCAAAACAAATACAATGCGTTTAGGCATGGACTCTGCAAGACCTCTGAATGTGTCCTGTAATATCTGGTAGCAGATCCATTAACTCCTGCAAGTTGCGAGGGGGGGGTTACCATGAATTGTATTAGTTGTTCCAACGCATTCAACATATGCTCAACCGGATTGAGATCTAGGGAATGTTGAGGCCAAGGCAACACCTTAAATTAATTGTGATGTTACTCAAACTATTCCTGAACAGTTGTTGCTGTGTTGCAGGGTGCATTATCCTGCTGAATGAGGCCACTGCCATCAGGAAACATGAAGTGGCTGTATGTGATCTGCAACAATCTCTAGATAGGTGGTGCGTGTCGAAGTAAAATACACATGAATGCCAGGATCCAAGATTTCCCAACAGAATATTTCCCAGAGCATAACACTGCCTCCACTGGCCTGCCTTCTTCCCATAGTGCATCCTGCTGCCATCTTACCCAGGTAAATTATGCAAACATGGCCATAGCCATCCACCTGATTTCAAAGAAAGCATGATTCATCAGACCAGGCAACCATCTTCCATTGCTCCATGGTCCAGTTCTGATGCTCACATCCCCAAAAAGGCGTTTTCAGCAGTGAACTAGGGTCATCATGGACACTCTGATCGGTCTGCGTCTACTTAACCCCATAATCTGCTAACTGCAATGCAATATGTGTTCTGATACCTTTCTCTCCTGGCCAGCATTGTCATTACATTTTTCTCAGCAAAATAAGCTAGAGTAGCTCTTCTTCAATCCCCACGTGCATCAGTGAGCCTCTTACTTTTGGTAGGTAATAGCCACTGTATACTTGGAACACCACACAAGACTTCTCATTTTGGAGATGCTCTGATGCAGTCATCTAGCCATCAGCCTCTTTTCAAAATTTGGTACCATGCCCCGTGCATAGATGTTTTTTTTATTGTTGCTATAGGTGGAAAATCCAGCTCCAGTATGCAGTATAAATTCACTTATGAAAAATACAAGATACACCTAAAATAAAAACAGAGGCAAAGAAAAATTCATAGGGCAACACCATACAATGAGAAACGGGTCCCTAATGATAGTAATGCACTCACAAGATGTACGGATTTTTCAAGCCCCTCAATGTCTCTTTAAATATTCAGCTGTAGACATTCTCAATATTCAAGGATGCATGCCAAAAGAAAAAAACAGCTTGAGCTTTATACCATCTGGGACAGAGGGATACAGAGATCTATTGATGGGCGTTTTCATTTTTTACTTGTTGTAAGTGAATTTAATTAAAGTGTGTCATTTTACATTTTAAAGCATTGCTGTACTATGTTCAGTTTTTTTCTTTTGGCATGCATCCGTGGATATTGAGAATGTCTACAGCTGAATATTTAAAGAGACATTGATGTGCTTGAAAAATTTGTACATCTTGTGAGTGCATTACTATCATTAGGGGCCCATTTCTCATTGTATGGTATTGCCCTATGAATTTTTCTTTGCCTCTGTTTTTATTTTAGGTGTATCTTGTATTTTATATTTGTATTTGAGGATTTCGAGGAATCCTTTGTTACGACCTAAAATATAAGAGAAGTAATTACCTTTATTTTAATATATATTGCTGCACTTGGGTGGTCTATAAGTATATATTAAGTATACATTCACTGTAATATTTGAGCAGAAGTTTTTACTCATTTACATCATAATAAGCATGTAATACATTATCTGAGCCTTTGAAATCTCTTTGAAGCACCTTATCCTTGCTACCGTGAACCTTAAAACTTTATTTTATCAAAAAAAAAATCTGCTTTAATGGCATGTTCATTTATTTTGAGCTCCACTTTTGCTTCATCTTTTTTGCCATTTCATATTTTAAAAAACATCTCTATGTGCACCATCATCATAGTCAACTCTTGGTCTAACAGAGTGTATGTTGACAATTACAATGATGCACCTGGACATTCATGGAATTGTAGCAATTATGTCCCCCCTTGGGAAGTCATAGCCATTTAGATTGGGCTGGCAAATGGGTTGAAGGAGTAGCTGCATCTACTTTGTTCCCAAATTCATGAAATCATGTTGTATGTAGGAATCTGTGGATCTATGTCTACATTTTTGTATATGTCTATGTGTGCACATATGTGTTATTCTGGGTGAAGGTATTCATCATTGCATGCATGTTAATAGGTGTGTATTTGTGTTTGTGTAGATGTATGTGTCTACTTTAAAATCTACCTCAAAATCCAGCACTTTACCTACTGGGCTCAGATGCTGGATCTGCCCTTACCCAGACTTGGATTAAGATTACCCAGGTACCTAGACAGGATGCAGATTAGACCTCCCTTTAAGAGCCCTGGATATGCAGTGAGGATGCTGCTCAGGTAGTGTGCGTTTTAGGTGATGTGGAGAGGTGAGGCGAGTGTGTTGCTCAGGTAGTGTGGATGATAGGAGGTGTGGGGTGCTGTTCCAATAGTGTGAGTTTTAGGACCTGTGGGGAGCTGCAGTGAGTATGCTGCTCAGGTAGTGTGTGTTAAAGCAGGTGTGGGGAGCTGCAGTGAGCGTGCTGCTCAGGTAGTGTGGATTATAGGAGTTGCAGGGAACTTGAGTGAGAGTGCAGTTCCCATAGTGTGGGTTATAAGAGGTTTGGGGAGCTGCTCAGGTAGTGTGGGTTATAAGAGGTGTAGGGAGCTGTAGTGAGTTTGCTTCTCAGGTAGTGTGCGTTACAGGAGGTATGGGGAGATGCAGTGAGTGTGCTGCTCAGGTAGTGTGGGTTATAGCAGGTTTAGAGAGCTACATTGAGTGTGCTGCTCAGGTACTGTGGGTTATAGGAGGAGCTGGGAGCCGGAGTGAGCGTGCTGCCTTTGTAGAGTGAGTTATAAGACATTGTGGTAAATTGGGAGACAAATAGCCAGATTTAACCAAAAGCTATATGTTATATAATCACTAATTCAGCAATTCTTACAACTAGTTTTACGCTTGTGTTGACAATTCTCTACTAACAAACCTAATATATGCTTTAATATAATTACTTAATTTGTCACCTAATAAAAACATTCCAAAAAGTAGAATGTGTGAGGAACCGATAATGCTTTCATTGTAATTACAGTCAAACTAAATGTAATATTTTATCTTATATTTTTAGTTCAACCTTCCCTAATACTCAAGCTAAACAGCGATGGACATCTTGAGTGCCTTGCTTTAGGTGGAAATCCAGCTGCCAACATATCTTGGAGTCCGGAACCACAATATGGAAACACTACGAAAAAACGAATGTCAAACATGACATGGGCGACCGTTAGCACATACAGTAAAGAAAATATCAGCGCATCCACCATGACTTGTGTGATATCTCACCCTACATTTGCAGAGGATAAATTCATGACAATGAATGATACTGGTAAGCAGACATTTATCAAGAAGAATGTCATCTGTTCACTGGGTTACACTAAGTAACTATAACAGAGTAAGCAGAGCTGGATTTACATGCCATGTGCCTATAAGAACAGAAATTGTGTTCTAACTTCTCTCTCAAAAATCATGTTCTCTGTTGTTTACTTGTCTTTGATATATACGCTTTTGTATTAAAAATAGTGTCCAGAGCAGAAAAGCTTCTCTAGGTTCTTACCTACTCTACCAACTGGCAAATCCATTCCTGACAGTAAGTGGAGCAAGAGAAATTACAAACATGTAAATGCTTGCCTATAATATTAGTTTTTTTGGTCCCCAGACTTTTTTAGATTATTATTATGTATGTAGCGGCAAATAATTCTGCAGTGCTGTACAATAGATTAATGTATTAGCATCACATGTAAATTAAATATAGTTCTATCAAAACGAATATGGGCCAAGTAATATTTGTTGAATTTTTTTTTTTTTAAATCTATACTATATTTTATCGTTTACTATATATTGCAGTCTGTACAGAATTGCAAGTTTTAACTAATTGTTGATGCAAGCGATTGCTAACTTTTAGCTGTGGTAAAATTGAGGAAGTAACAGTACTTCTCTAGTTACAGAAACCAACATTTTAAGTGGTTTGACAAATTTCTTATGTTGTTACTATGTCATATTTTATTTAATGAGCTTATTTCTCCTTTAATTGGTGACATATTGTTAGCTTATGTTACTTGTACACTTGGATGGTTGAACTTGATGGACTTGAGTTGTTACTATGTTACGTCATCAAAATGACTGCAATCAGAGGGTGACAACCATGATGGTTGTCACGAGCCCAACAGTTCTGGTGGGTCCCACTTTCCCTATCTGTAGTGGCAGAACCCCTGCTGATGATGGGGCCCCTCTGGTGGCCCATGCACTTAGGGACAGTTGATGGGCATATGTCTTCAGGGGCCTGGTCAGCACTGCGGCTCTTTAATAGCACCACTGGACCCCTTTAAAAATGGCAGCCACGGCCAGTGCTGGCAGGAAGTGACAGACGTTCACTTCCTCCCAGCTTACTCCACACAGGTGGGGAGCAGGCAGAGCAAAGAGAGTGAAGAGGGAAGAGCCAGCTGCCAGACTGACTTCCATCAGCCCCAACCACCATTCTACACCCAAAAATGTAAGAAACAGGATGCTGGCTAAAAAAATAACTTGTATGTGTGTGTGTGAGTTTGTATGTCTGTGTGTGTGTGTGTGTGTGTGTGTGTGTGTGTGTGTCAGTATGTATGTCTGTGTGTGTCAGTATGCATTTATGTCTGTGTGTCAGTATGTATGTCTGTGTGTGTCTGTGTGTCAGTATGTATGTGTGTGTCAGTATGCATGTACACTGAGCAAAATTATAAATGCAACACTTTTGTTTTTGCCCCCATTTTTCATGAGCTGAACTCAAAGATCTAAGACTTTTTCTATGTACACAAAGGCCTATTTCTCTCAAATATTCTTCACAAATTTGTCTAAATCTGTGTTAGTGAGCACTTCTCCATAGAGCTGTCTGTGCAGTAAGAAACAATCTGCAATGTGAGATTAGCGTACTAGATTAAGCTGTGTGCCTACAATTTTTTTCACATTAGATGCTGTTAACCAGATAATTAACTATGGTTTATCTAAGACACGCGGGAATAGCTGTTTTGACCCAATGGCGTGTAGGCAGATGAGTCGTCGATGCCTGTATTGCCTTAACAGCTTTAACAAGCGCAAACATAGTCAACACAATTTTACAGTGTTATGGCAGGAATGAGCTGGGCATTTTTAGTAAGTTAGTAATGCTAGACGTAGCAGACGACCAAACAAGCAAATGACAGTTTGCGGGCATGTGATGTGTAGGTGTGATGTATGCAAAGCATTTGAGTGATTGGCATTCTGTCAAATAACTAAACATAATATAAACATAAAATAAGACCCCCCACTCGTTCCCCTAAGTAATCAAGGAAGGTTAGGACTGTCTCTATAGCAGAGGCTAAACGTATGTGAATGTTCAACTAAGGTACGTAGAGGTATTAGGCCATAGACACTTTGCCTGTCTTAGAGTCCCCGGCTTGATTCTCAAGTCAGCCGATGCCTTGCTCGGTAGCCCATGGGTTGAGGTGCGTATGGACCTTGTGCCGTGTGGACGTAATCTTGGTGGGGCATATTGAGTCTGTCTTGCGGTTGCTGAAGCATGGCCTGTCTCCCGGACTGTTTGTGGGTTGCCACTGCCCCGTGAGGATCCGCCTGTGGCTGTCGCTTCATGGGGCCTTGCGTCCCGCTGTTTCTCCAGCCTGTTCAAGCCCACTTTGCCCCTCCAGAGCTTGTGTCGAGTCTCCGCTCGCAGGTAAGGTGACCTTGGGCACCCTCTCCTGGGTGTTCTCAGGTCTCCGGGTGCCGCCCCTGGTCTGCTGCTGCATTCTGAGGGGCTCCAAAAGCATGAACTCGAGATGGCCCCTTGTTGGTGTTTGCCTCTTTGGGTTTATTTTCAGAGTCCGCTTGACTGCCTGATGTAGGTTCTGTGGCAGGTCTGTGGGCAGATTCTGCAGCACTGGAGGTTTCTCCCAAAAGGAGGAGAAGATATTATTTAACCGGTGCTCCATTTCCAGTGCTGCACTGCATGGGTCAGTAGCATGGGAGGCATCCGTCATTTTGTTGGCCTTGTCGGTAGTAGGCCCGGGATTCTGTATTGGTGTCATGTTACCAGTACTTTGCATAGGGTTCAGGTGGGGTTGGACCGGGATTACCCCCCCGTCCGGATTCGGGCCCAGGTTTACATTTTCGGCTTGTTGCCAAAAAAATCCAAGTAGCTCACATCCACTGCAACACCCTGATTATTATTATTTATATACCGCCAACAGATTCTGTAGCGCTTTTCAATATTATAAGAGGGGAGATTTAGATATAAATAGGACAATTACAAGAAAACTTACAGGAACGATAGGTTGAAGAGGACCCTGCTCAAACAAGTTTACAGTCTATAGGAGGTGGGGTGTAAAACACAATAGGACAGGGAATAGCAATCAAAATAGGTGGGAGTGAAGCAGAGCTGGAGGAGAGAGTTGAGTGCTGCCCTTCAGGAGAGAGCAAGAGACAGGTATGTGAGGTAGAGGTTACTCTGGGATGCCATAAGCTTTTCTAAAAAGATGGGTTTTAAGGCACTTCTTAGACAATTGAAGACTAGGGGAGAGTCTGATGGCAGTAGGCAGGCTGTTCCATAGGATGGGAGCTGTTCTATACTTCTAATTACTTCTATAATGCAATTAGGTCAGTTTGACATGACCTATGTTTCATAAAACCATGCTAATTATTGCTAATGAATTCCAAAATATTATCCCTTAATAATCCTTCAAATACTTTCCCAGTCACAGAAGTTAAGCTCACAGGCCTATAATTTGCAGGCAAGGATTTTGAACCCTTTTTAAATATAGGAACGACATCTGCCTTCCTCCAATCCTCCGTTACAATTCCTAAAAGAAAAGAATATTTAAATCTTAAATACAGAGATTCACTTATATCCACATTTAGCTCCTTAAGTAATCGTGGGTGAATACCATCAGGCCCCAGAGCATTAGGAAATGAACAAATATAATTTATCAATGGAAAGCTATTTATTTGCAGAATTATCGTTATTCTATGTGTCATATAAATGAATATTTTTTTGGAATAAGTGAATAGAATATGGTATTGAATCAGTTACTAAACAGTTCCTTTATCCTTTATATTGAAGAAATATAGCATCTCAATGAATGATAATGCTGAATTGCTTGACTTGTTCTCTATCTCCCTTCCCGTTTGCAATGCCCTGAAAGGGGTACATGTGTGGCGGAACCAGCCTCGCCACTAGGCATTGGATGAAGACTGTTTGCCAGCCTCCTGCCCTGCGACTATGGCCCTGAGATGTATTGCCCTTCTAGGAACTGATTTGGGCATAATAGATTTTTATTATGCTGCTGCTGGCCCTTTAAGAACCATCTGGGGACATACTGTGGAGTTATTGGGTAGCCACCATTTCATGTATTAGAGGCACATGGTGAGAACAATGGATGAAGCACATGTTGAGAACAATGGATGGCGGCCATTTTAACTCACAGACACTGTTTGCACTTTTCTACACAGTGCCATCTCGCTGGTATTTGGTACACAAAGACATTGTTCAGTAGTTTTAAACTATACAACGAGGGACACATTTAACAGTAATTATTTTATTAGCCTGTATATGATCTGCGGAATCTGCATTAAACCGTATCTTCCAAACTACTGAATGGATCTGGGTGAATTTTGCATATGTGGTTCACCCAGACCCCCTGGTTCCGAGGATATATTTTTTATTGCATATTTTGGGGTCCCTGTGATATGTTTTATAATACTGTATTTCTCTGCCTGTGATAATTATATTAACCATTGTGTTCAGTAATCATATCACAGGCAGAGGGGAGTACTATGTTTGTAGAATGTGAATAAAAGAGGCTGTATGTGCCAGTACAGTCACCTCAATTTGGAGTGCCGTCTCTTATTGGGGGAATCTGCTACAAGGGATTGCTATGCTCTGCATACTCTCTTGCTATATTCACTGCTAAGCTCTTGTAAGAGCTTGTTCCTGTTTTGCTCTCTGAATGAGTCTACGGTGATTATGGTGTCTGCTGCAGTGTTTGGGGTCCTTAGGAAGCGCTAGGAGCATCCTTCAACGGAGGTACCCAGTCGGGGTGCCAGGTGATCCGTTACAACATGTGTCTTGTCTTTCCTGGTTTTAGTCTGTAGCTAGTGCATCCTGGTTCTTCCCCAAGAACCCATTTATTCTGTTTAGGGGAACTTTCATTCTGACTGAGCTTTAAGACAGAAAGCAGTGAACACTGTATCTGTTATCTTAATCCAGTGCATAAGTTTAATCACTCACATACAGTTTAATTGTTATTCCTGCTTCAGTGCTTAATGCACAATTGAGTGACCTCCTTATTTGTCCTTTGATATTTACAGTTCTTTTCAATAGAGTTAACCAGTCACATTAATTTATTACTGATTCTTTTCCCATTTGATTCCTCTCCTATGATTGTAACAGTACATATGTCTGTGTGTCAGTATGTGTGTATCTGTGTTTCAGTGTATATTTGTCTGTGTCAGTACGTATGTGTCTGTGTGTGCCTGTGTATCTGTGTGTCCTTTTGTGTATGCATATGTATTTGTGTGCCAGTGTGTGTGTCTGTGTGTGTGTATTCTCTGTCAATTTGTATCTGAGTGTCTGTGTATCTGTGTATTTGTCAGTGTGGGTATATTGTGTTTATCTGTGTGTGTAATAATGCGTCATAGTGTGTGTAAAATGTGTCAGTGTGTCTGTGCATCTGTGTGTTCACATGCATATCGGTGTATGTAACTTTGTATGTATCTGTGTGTCAGTATGTGTTCTGTGTATTTGCATGTGTGCCAGTGTGTGTGTCTATGCATCTGTGTGTGTGGAACTGTATACACTACACATAAATGCACGCCTGCATTCAAACAACAACAACAATATTCACACACATACTCCATACAAAAACATGATTTCATTCAAACACCTATTGTGGGTAGGTATATATATATATATATATATATATATATATATATATATATATACACACATATTTACATCCAGTTGTCTGGTTACAATTACATGTCTGTTAGTCCACCCATTGTACAGCGCTACAGAATCTGATGGCGCTAGATAAATAATAATATATATATATATATATATATATATATATACATACATACATACATACATACATACACACATTGCATCCCCTACAGACACACACACACACTGCATCCACTACACATGCACTAACACACACCATGTCCACTTTACACACACTGCATCCAATACACAAACACACATAGTGCATCCGCAACACAGACATTATGCACTATACACAATCTGTATTCTTGTGGCCAGGCTTGGAGGTGGGCCCTGTTGGCGCACTTGGAGACAGGCCCTCCGGTGGCACAGACCTTGAGCTGTGTTAGGAGCCCAACAAATTCTGATGGCAACCCTGGTCATCAACTCAGGAGAGGTGTTTCCATTGTTGTTTTTGCTTGAGATATTTTGGGCTATAAGACATTTTTTACAAAGTCATATTCAAGTCCACTGAAGTGTTAAATTGATGAATTTTCGATGTTTCTGTAAAACTGTATATCAATACTTTTCGTAAGGATAGTGATGACATTTAAGAGGTTCATATAAGTTATAGAGCGTTTTTTTCTCCAAATTACCTAGAAACGGCTTATCATTAAAGGTTTATAACCAGCTGTAAATCTGTTGATTAATGTTGGACATGGGATTGTAATTTCCTTATATGGTTGAAGTTAACTATTAAAGGACCACTATAGGCACCCAGACCACTTCAGCTTAATGAAGTGGTCTGGGTGCCAGGTCCATCTAGGGTTAACCCTGCCTGCTGTAAACATAGCAGTTGCAGAGAAACTGCTATGTTTACATTAGGGTTAATCCAGCCTCTAGTGGCTGTTTTTCTGACAGCCGCTAGAGGCGCTTCTGCGCTTCTCACTGTGATTTTCACAGTGAGAAGACACCAGCGTCCATAGTAAAATCATTGAGAATGCTTTCCTATGGACTGACTGAATTGCTGTGCATGCGCATTCAGCCGATGACGTCGGAAGGAGGAGGAGAGTCCCCAGCGCCGAGGGAGCCCAGCGCTGGAGAAAGGTAAGCGTTTAACCCCTTCCTCCCCCTAGAGCCCAGCGGGAGGGGGACCATGAGAGTGGGCGGGACCTATTAATACTATAGTGCCAGGAAAACAAGTTTGTTTTCCTGGCACTATAGTGGTCCTTTAATAACTACTCCGCATAATGATGCTTCACAAAAAAAAATCAATATATGCAACTGCATCATCAAATATCATAATGGCAAGTAAATAAAACTATCAGACAATTATTTGTTGTTTGTTAATCAGTGTTATTTGTAGCCATGTCATATTTACTTGATCAAATCCTTCATAATTTACATTGTAGTTTTAGAATGAACATTTTGGAGGGTACAGTGTTTGCATTGATATTATAGAACTACTACACATGAAGAATGGTATTGGTTTATTAAGATCTATATAATCTTAAGAAATAAAAGGCATACTCTTACACTTTCTCTAGATCGATCCATTCCTTTATGGGTTGTGCTGGCTACAGTTATCTTTATAATCTCTACGATCATCTTGGGATCGCTTATCTTCTGGCAAAGATCAAATATCAGGTACGGTGATGAAAGTACAGCTGCTTTTATCCACTCCCATTTTAAATTTTTAAGTGATAGCGTCTGAGTGCGGAAGGAGTGTGCAATGGAATGAACCCAAGTTGTAGGGAAGTATGTACTCAGATATCGCTGAGTGCTATGAGAGTATATAAATAAGTGTATCACAATGATAAGAAGAGTATTTAAGGGACACTGTAGGCAACCGGACCACTTCAGCTCATTGAAGTGGTCTGGGTACAGTGTGTCTATTGCCCTTAGTGCTGAAATGTTAAACAACTGCAGTTTCAGTTTACATTGCAGCACTAAGTCAGCCTCTAGTAGCTGTCTACCAGACAGCCACTAGAGGTTGACTTCCTGGTTTGAAACTGACCTTTGGTCCGGTATCTGTACTATACTATACTAGCCTTTTAAGTAAGAGCATCTCAGTGATGCAGGGGTTAATCAATCTATGGATTTAAACATTGAGCTGAACGTATCATTCTGTGGATTTGAGTGTTGATGGCAATATAGCAAACTATGAATTTGAGAGTTGAAAGGAATACTGTAGAATTATAGGGAACTGGGTGTTGAGGGGAGAATATGTGGATTTGAGTGTTGATGGGAGTATATAATGCTGTGCATTTGAATGTTGAGTGGAGTTTATAATTATGAGATTTAAAATTTTGAGTGGAGTATATAATTGGAGTGTTGAGGGGGTATATAATATACAGTATATAATTCTATAGATTTGAGTATTGAGGGGGTATATAATTCTGTAGGTATGATTGATGATGGGGTATATAATATACAGTATATAATTCAGTATATGATATACAGTATATAATTCAGTATATGATATACAGTATTTAATATACAGTATATAATTCAGTAAATAATATACAGTATATAATTCAGTATTTAATATACAGTATATAATTCAGTATATGATATACAGTATTTAATATACAGTATATAATTCAGTAAATAATATACAGTATATAATTCAGTATGTAATATACAGTATATAATTCAGTATTTAATATACAGTATATAATTCAGTATATGATATACAGTATTTAATATACAGTATATAATTCAGTAAATAATATACAGTATATAATTCAGTATGTAATATACAGTATATAATTCAGTATTTAATATACAGGATATAATTCAGTATATGATATACAGTATTTAATATACAGTATATAATTCAGTAAATAATATACAGTATATAATTCAGTATGTAATATACAGTATATAATTCGGTATTTAATATACAGTATATCATTCTGTATATAATATACAGTATATAATATACAGTATATAATTCAGTATTGAATATACAGTATATAATTCAGTATGTAATATACAGCATATAATTCAGTATATAATATCCGATTTATAATTCAGTATGTAATATACAGTATATAATCCAGTATATAATATAGAGTTTATCATTCAGTATGCAATATACAGTATATAATTCAGTATTTAATATACAGTATATAATTCAGTATATAATATGCAGTATCTAATTCAGTTTGTAATATACAGTATATAATTCAGTATATAATATACAGTATATAATTCGATATATAATACACAGTATATAATTCAGTATATAATATACAGTATATAATTCGATATATAATATACAGTGTATAATTCGATATATAATATACAGTATATAATTCAGTATATAATATACAGTATCTAATTCAGTTTGTAATATACAGTATATAATTCAGTATATAATATACAGTATCTAATTCAGTTTGTAATATACAGTATATAATTCCGTATATAATAAACAGTATATAATTTGATATATAATATACAGTATATAATTCGATATATAATATGCAGTATCTAATTCAGTATATAATTCTGTGAATTTTAGTGCTAAAGGAAGTGTGTTATTGAGTGCATCAGATTGCCGAGGGTTATGTAAATGAATAAAACCTGGCAGTTAGAGTTTTGTGTAAGCGCAGGAGAAGGGACGAATAGTGTTAACACCATAGAGGATGGAGAAACTAGAACACAATTTAATGGTGACTCTTTTTCTAGCTGAATCATGGAGTCCTATTACAGATCAAACAGGACTGATATATTAAATATTAACAGCTCTGATGGGGACATCGCAGTTTTAGCTGAGGATCACTAGATGTCACCCTAAACCACTCTCTCCCCAAATTCAGCAACTTTTTTATATTGAATCTTTGTTTAAAAGAATAAATATTTTGACATGTGTTCTATTGTTTCTAAGTAAAGCCAGACAGTTAATATGCATTTTACATTATGGAATATATACAATATAGACAGTGAGCTGTTCATTATCTGTTTTTACCAGTTATGAGTATAGTGTTGCGTTTGGATGGTTAGCGCCCATTTAGTAGTGACAGGGTTTAAAACCATAAAATATATTATAAATAATCTGCAATATAAAATACAAAAAGAACTACAATAGTGTAGTAAGTAGAAACACCAGATACGGTGGAACCATAAATTTTTCCATCTTCTTTTGTTCCAGGTATACATATACGAAAATAAAAGAAGAAGGAACATAGTGCAGTACTGTAGATACATTTTAACAACACTCACAAGATAAAAGTGAAAGATAAGTCCATCAATATCAAATTGGTCCACATGGATTGCTGCAGGTTCTCACAGAACAGGATCAAATATAAGGCTAAAACAGCATAAAAAAAAAATAATAAAACAAACTGTCACTTCTTTCACCCTACCCATTTTATCTGTCCTTGGACTTTTTGTATTTTTGATCGCAGATTATTTATAATATATTTTATGGTTTGAGAAGTTTGAGGAATCTTCTTTATATTTCTGCATATTACTGGGTAATTTATACCTATAACCACTGGTGTTGTTTAAAGGGACACTATAGTCACCTGAACAACTTTAGCTTAATGAAGCAGTTTTGGTGTATAGAACATGCCCCTGCAGCCTTACTGCTCAATCCTCTGCCATTTAGGAGTTAAATCCCTTTGTTTATGAACCCTAGTCACACCTCCCTGCATGTGACTTGCACAGCCTTCCATAAACACTTCCTGTAAAGAGAGCCCTATTTAGGCTTTCTTTATTGCAAGTTCTGTTTAATTGAGATTTTCTTATCCCCTGCTATGTTAATAGCTTGCTAGACCCTGCAAGAGCCTCCTGTATGTGATTAAAGTTCAATTTAGAGATTGAGATACAATTATTTAAGGTAAATTACATCTGTTTGAAAGTAAAACCAGTTTTTTTTTTCATGCAGGCTCTGTCAATCATAGCCAGGGGAGGTGTGGCTAGGGCTGCATAAACAGAAACAAAGTGATTTAACTCCTAAATGACAGTGAATTGAGCGGTGAAATTGCAGGGGAATGATCTATACACTAAAACTGCTTTATTTAGCTAAAGTAATTTAGGTGACTATAGTGTTCCTTTAACTGGGTTTTTATAAATATTTTAGAGTTTAAAACCAGTCACTAAGTAGCGGTTAGCAGCCATTGGCCACTACTTAGTGGCTGTATTTAAATAGCATCTGGTAAACAGCTACTACACAATAACAGGCACTTTAGTGAGTAGTGACTGTCCAGTAAAAAAAAAGAAAAAAAAGAAATAGCATTGAACACAGGAAGCAAGCTCTTAGTAAGCTCCCTCTCAGCAATCGAATTCCTAGGGAATAAACTCTCAATTTGTTTTCATTTCCTACAGAAAATGCCTTAGCGTGGACAAACCCAACACGGCCTCTGTAAACCAAGAACGGGATAATGCACAGGTGAATACTGGGAGATGGGGGCTGTGCTTTCTGATTTATTCTATTTTAACCAAAAATGTTAAATTCATTTGGAATTCTCACCAATTCACACTGTAACGAATAACCCTGCGGGTTAGCAGAACACTTCATGGAGCTGATTCACCAATACCATATACTTTTATTGCTGCAGTATATTCCCAAATGACGCTATTTATATTTGTGTTCCAGCAGAATACAGAAGAAGTGGAACCTTACGCAAGCTTCACTCAGAAAATAAACACTATTTACAATTCCACACCTCAGCTCTCCAAATCAGACAAAATCTACTGGACAGTGGACAACAACTCCTAAGAAAATTAAAAAAACCATGAAAACATGTCTTTTCTACTAATTGGAGTTAAAATATCACATTTATATAACATGATTGCAGATTATATAACTTGGATGTGCAACTATAAACCCCTGTTCAGAGAGCTGGCTTAAAAGTGAGGGAGTAGATATGATTTCCAACAGTGGAAAACCAACATACATTTGATGACCACAAATCCTGGAGTACTAACTGCTTGCGATATAAGGAAGGCCCATTGAGTATTTATGGATCAAACTATGAATTTGCCTGAACTTTCACAAGTGAAGTTTTTAATGGAAACTCAGTGACATAGGAAAAGTATCATTGGCCGAAGAAATTTTTCTAAAATGAATTATGTGTAGCAACAATAGCAAAGCACCAAACATATATGGGTTACTGGAGTGTTAGTGTAAATAATCATTGTGCAATGTATTCTGTTGAATCCGTTTTCAAGAATTAAAACATCCATAGATGAAAGAATATGGGAATCACTGACGGCATACGCAATGCCACGGTTTGACAATACAGCTTTTCATTTTTACACTATGACTAATTAATATTAATTGCTAATTATGATTTTTTTTTTTTTTAGATATATACATTTCAATATATGTTAATGTTACATTTTATGGTTTGTCTGCAAAGATACATTTACAACATGGAGCACTTTAAAAGAACCAGGAAAAGACATGTAAAAATACCCAGGCCCTTTTTTCGTCAAGGACATTAGGGACCATGTGTTGTTCTGCTGGTTCCATTAGGAGTGCCTGGACCTTCCTTTTCTATATCTATGTTTTGATGGGTGAGAGCTGGTCTATGGTCTAGCTAACCATTTAATCGGCTTGTGGATTGAGTGCAATTCCTGTTACTCGCTTGTGATAGACATTGGGAGCCCATTATCTGGATAGTGATGAACTATGGACCCAATATTCCCAATATTGGACTGATTTGGAATTGTATATTATGATCTCTCTTAAGAAATGAACTACACTAGCAGTTAACTACAGATGCCCTCTATATGTCTATGGAGTTCTGATAATATGTAAAAACATACGAGAAAAAAACTCATAGGATTATATGATAAAATAATGCCATTTATTTATGCTTTAAATAAGTGAAAAATGTATAAAACATAATAAAAATGCAATCTCACAATTTTCTCAATAGGTCACTGGCACTTCCCTCCCAAGTGGGAGTTTTAATAGCAGTTCCCTTTGTTTGGCATCCAGACAGATCCTGCATTGCTTTGGTATTACACGGTACTTGCAGGATTCCCTCATTGTTACTTTACGTGCCCAAATATTTCCCTTGAGCAAAACAGTAAGAAGTTTAATCATAACTCAAAACACAATGCAACATATATAAACAACGAGCATTTACTTTTTACACCACTTAATAAACCATTGAAAATCATATATACCTTGTAGAAACCTCTTTCCATGTTATGTTCTACGTTTGTTTTGGTTTTTTTTAAATCTACATTAAAGATTTGGAATTGACAAAACACAATCCAGTTTAATTCTGGCACAGCCAAGGCACACATCAAAAGTGGTTTAAAGCACTAAACGTGGTGCAGTCACCATGGAAACCAGTGGAACCAGCAAACACATTGCATTGGTGACTCCAGCCCTTTTCATGTTTGCACCACACTTCAGAGCAGAATGTTGGTCATTTCTACATTCAGTTCTATTTTTCAGTCCTCACAAACAAGTTTTTCTTTAGTATAAGGACTTAGTAAACATAATGTTAAAAATCCTGGGAAGTGAACGCCTCCCTTAAAAATACTACCAAGAGGAGAGCGATAGGCAGACAAATTATAAATGATCCATAAGGACCGTTTGAGCAGCGTCCCCCAGTTTGTATTGCAATAAAAAAGGGAAAGAAATCTACTAAAAGGGTAAAAACTAATGATTGTAAAAAAAATGTCCGTTTAGATTAATCTGAAGTTTTCCTAAGACATGCTTAGTCTGCTCTAACAGGATTTCTTCTGTCACCTGTTGGCTTTGCTTTGGGGTGTCGGCTCCGATGTCGCACTATACTTAGAGACGTAAATGCTTCAATGACCAGGATTGAGAACGAGCCAAGGTAGAGATTCAGAAACAACTGGATACAACATCTCTGTAAAAGAGCAAACATCCTACAGCAGCAGAGTTTGCAGTAAGCAGGGGTATCATACTATACAAACCAAGGAGGCAAGGTGGCAATCATTAATCCAGGGGACAAACCAATGGTGGAGGTGAAAACATTTGGTCTTGGGAGGCAAGTACAAATAAATGCGCTTTAACTGCACAAAAAAACTCACAGATCTCTGAGTGAATGGATTTACGCACAGATGGTCTACAGAACCAACAGGTGGCGGTTGCTGAAATTTGGTGGCATGTCATAATATACTCCAGCAATCTCCATCAGTATGACCTGTGCAGCGTGATGGAGCATTCACAAAAATCTGTAGGTCTAGGATATGCAGACTCTGTTTCCTCCATTGCCGACTCGACTATTAGAATTGGCATGTGCTATGAATGTCCTGAGCGCTGTCCATCTTACCTGGCCACTGGTTAACACCTCCATCACAATCTGGCAGCCCAGCTAGTCCCAGATGAATGCCCAAGTGATACAATCCTGGTCAAGAGAGCAAGGCCGGCCTGGCCCACCGGGATACCGGGAAATACCCCGGTGGGCTGGTGCTCCTGGGGCTGGCAGAGCTGCACCTTCCTCTTTTCCCTCCTCTGACTTGTTTGGGGCTGGAGCCAGGGGAAGAAAGTTTGCTGAATGGCCGCAGTGAGGCTGCCAGAGGCCGGTAACAGAAACAGGAGATGGCTGGTTTGCAGCAGAGAGGAGTGAGAGAGCACCTGCATGACTATCTCAAAAAAGCAGCTTCTTTCCAGCTCTGCATGGACAGACTGGCAGATCCAGCCCCCACACTATAGCTCCGCCCCCAGCCTCTCCCGGTGTCCTTTCACACAGGAAGTGGAAGAGCCACCGGTCAGTTGCAGTTTTTTAGGTAAATTGATGGACTTAGTGAATGAGAATGTGAGAGGCAGCTTGGTAATGTGTGGTGACACGAATTTTGTTATGGATGGTGAATTGGATAACGCTAGGGAAGAACGTGATCGACAGCTTAGAGGGGACAGTGACAGATTAGCGTATAAATGCTCCTGATATATGATTGAATGTGGCTTATACGACCCTTGGAGACTGATGCATGAGAATGAAACAGATTTTACGTATTATTCTGTCTCTAAAAATATGTACTCCAGGCTGGACCAGTTTATGGTCCAGAGTGCTTTAATTCCGCACATCTTGAAATCTGATATCTTAAACATCAACTGGTCTGACCATGCTCCAATCATAATGCAAATTGTTTCATCAGCCCCTAACAGAACCTGGAAATTAGGCGATTATTTGTTATATGATGTTGTGAACAGGTTACTGACGGAGAAAGCTTTGTGTGATTATTTTTCAGAGAATGCCTCACCTGAGGTTCCTGGCGAGGTGACTTGGAATGCACATAAGGCTGTGTTAAGAGGTCATTTTATTTCTAGAGTGTCTCATCTGAAGAGAATTAATAGCAATAATTTAAGAACATTGGAAAAAGAATTGTACAATTTGAACCAGGCTAATAAACTTGGTCCATCGTCCTCCCTATCAGCAATGATAAGAGAAATTAAGGCTAAAATTAACAAAATTAATTTAGATCGTACATCTCTCATGGTGAGACGTCTCAGGAAAACATTTTACTTAAAAATCAACAGGGCCTAAACTCTTTTGGCATCCAAACTCTGGCATGTGAATTCCCAATCAAAAATAGCATATTTACTTGATGATCAGGGGCGAAAAGTGTTCCATCCAACTAAAATTAGTGATATGTTTGCAGAGTATTATAGCAAACTTTATAATTTGGAATGTAATTTGGACCTCCCCCAGCCTTCTACAACAATAATTGATAAATTCTTAGACAGAGTGTCATTGCCTCGGCTGTCTCCAGGACATTTAGAAAGCTTAGAATGTGAAATATCAGCAGTAGCTGAGAGATAGCTGAGGCAATCAAACTTATGCCATCTGGAAAAGCCCCTGGTCCCGATGGATTCACTATTTTATATTATAAAACTTTTCCAGAAATTTTAATTCCCCATATGACTAAATTGTTCAACTCCTATAAGTCTGGGGGAAAGATGCCGGAGGAGTCCTTGTGCGCAAGAATAGTCACTTTGCCAAAACCGGGAAAAACTCCCAATAGATGCCCTAACTTTAGGCCCATTTCTCTGATTAATAATGATTCAAAGATTTATTCTAAAGTTCTCACTAATAGATTAACCAAACTAATCCCATTGTTAATTAATAAGGATCAAGTAGGTTTTGTACAGAATAGACAGGCGCCAGACGGAACTAGAAGATTCATAAATTTGATTCAGCACATCAATATGAACAAAATGCCTTCTTTGCTTCTATCTCTAGACGCAGAGAAGGCGTTTGACAGGATACATTGGGGATATTTATGGAGAACATTAGACAGGTTCAATATACCATCATCCTTTATCACAGCAATTAAGGATTGTCAAATGTATGTGAACTGGAATGTATGCTAATCATGGACAAATTGAAAGAACTATACCAGGTACCTGAAACAGATAAAAACTATAAGTCACTTGAGTTATCTCCTTTAGAGAAAGTTTTTTTATACAGCCCCGCTAGTAAAGGTATGATATCCTTATGCTATTTATCTCATAATGCCAAGCCCTTAATTAAATTAAAACATATGCTGTCATGGGAGACGGAGTTGGGTGGCCAGTACGATTTAGAAGAATGGTTCGTTTTTTTTAAAGGTTTAAAAGGTATTTCGTATTGCACCAACCATTTTGAAAATCATTATAAAATCTTATATCGCTGGTACCTGGCTCCGTCTAGATTGCACAACATGAACAATATGTATTCTGACCGGTGTTGGAGAGACTGTGGGGGAGTGGGCAATATGGCCCATTTCTGGTGGTTCTGCCCCAAGTTAATTAATTAATTATTGGAAAATGATCCACGATCTGATTATTAAAGTGAACAGAACCATTAGCATCTTAACCTCGGAACTAGCCTTATTTAAAAAACTCCCGGAGTCTGTTAATAGTTCAGATAAAATAATCATAGGCCACATTCTGATCGCTGCTACATCCTGTTTACTTAGACATTGGAAGTCCCAAAATGTGCCATCTCTTAGAGAAGTTTTTAATCTGATCCTAGAAAACAAGGCACATGAATTATCACACAGAGCCAATATGCATGGTTTCCCAATACTAAAATATAATTGGGATAAATGGGAAGAAAAAAATCAAAACAGTTTATGGTCTTTGATATATTTATTGTTAAAGTGCATTGATGTATTTTTTGCCATATACATTGTTATGTTTATTTCAATGATGGATGGATACCCCTTCCCATTTCACAGTTACCCTTCCTTTCCTACTCTTAATACAATGTTTATATTACTACCACTTGTTATACAAAAATTTTTAAAACTTTAATAAAAATTATTTAAAAGAAGATGGAGCCTAGAACATCTATAAAGGCTGTTAAACCACATGTACCAACTGTAAGTAGATCTCCTTTTGGTATTCATAGCATTGGCCTCAATCTAGTATTGAAAATGGGCAGTGGGTTCTATAGTTAAAGTTATAGCTACAGCAGACAGTTTGCTACATGTGTATGATAAAAAATATCTCATAAAGCTTGGGATACAGTTGGATATTGAATTGATAAAGCCAATATAATAACAAATTGATTTGTCCATCATTGAGCCCCATTCTGTGGGCGTCTAAAGACCTAAATAGCTACTCCAGCACTATAGTGTTCCTTTCACTGATTTTCTTTTTCTTTTTATTGTTAGAATGGCAGTTTGTTCTATTTTGTATTTTTTTTAACACTTAAAATGTGTCTTTGCTAGAAATCTAGAATGTTAGAAGGTCAGAAAATATCCGAGAAAGGAACAGAGAACTGTAATCACATTACTGCCGTGGATGAAGAATGAAGAAGTTATTTCAATTCATTTTGATGGTTTAAACCTGAAATGTCTCTTTTCTGGAATGTATGCAATCGATTACAAATTTAAAAACGAACCAGTTTTTTCATGAAATGCTCCGTTTTCTTTTGAATTTCTATGAAAGAATTAGCAAATGACGTCAGAACCCAGTTCAGACAAGGCAAAGCCAGTGTGAAAAAAAAAAAAATAGACTGAAGGACAAAAAAGGATAATTCATATAAAAGAATTCTCAACGTATTACTTAATATCCTGTAAATTAGTAAATGGCTATGCAAATGAGAATGACAAATATTGTAAACACCTCCAGTAAGCAAGATCACCAAACACGTACAATCACATTTAAACCAATGGAGGTGATCAAGGGAAAAAAAACGCTATAACAATAATGCTTAACCCCTTAAGGACACAGCTTCAGAAGCTTGTCTTGCGCTTAATGACACAAGCAATTTTTGCATTTTTTGTTTGCGTTCAACTGCAATTTGCATTTTACTAATTTATTGCACCGACACATATTATATACTGTTTCTTAAAGGACAGAAAGGGCTTTAATTTGATGTGTATATATATATATAAATGCTTATTTATTATAAAATAAATACAGAAAAATGCAAAGAAAATTAAAAATGTGTTTTTTTTTACAGTTTTTGCAATAATAATGTGTGCATAATTAGTCCATGTTAAGGAAAGTAATTAAAAATAAATTAATTTAGTTGTTCTGATTTACATAATGTAAAATAATATAATGTGTCTGGGATTTTACGTTTTTTTTTTTTTGGTAGTTACAGGTCACAAAGCACAAGGAGTAAAATAAACTTTTAAAGGACCACTATAGTGCCAGGAAAACATTCTTGTTTTCCTGGCACTATAGTGCCCTGAGGGTGCCCCGACCCTCAGGGTACCACTCCCATGGCGCTGAAGGGTGAAGAAGAGGTTAATCCCTTACCTTTTTTCCAGTGCCGGGCTCACTCGGCGCTGGGACTCTCCTCCCTCTTTTGATGTCATCGGCTGACTGCGCATGCGCGGCAAGAGCCGCGCGCGCATTCGGCCAGTCTCATAAGAAAGCATTCACAATGCTTTCCTATGGATGCTGGCGTCTTCTCACTGTGAAAATCACAGTGCGAAGCGCGGAAGCGCCTCTAGTAGCTGTCAATAAGACAGCCACTAGAGGCTGGATTAACCCTAAAGTAAACATAGAAGTTTCTCAGAAACTGCTATGTTTACAGCAGAAAGGGTTAATCCCAGATGGACCTGGCACTCAGACCACTTCATTAAGCTGAAGTGGTCTGGGTGCCTATAGTGGTCCTTTAATGTGGAGCGATTTTAGAATTTGGTATGTTTGTCTTGTAAATTGCCACACACAAGTATATATTTATATAAAGTAGACATCACAGGCTATTTACCTAATGTTATTTTGACACTTTCTGCGTACCCATTTTACCACCAATCTCTGCTAAATATTGGAGTAAAATTGTGTTTTTGTTTTTTTGGGGGGCACACAAACTTATAACAAATAAATTCTCATGTGTATTTTGTAAAGTTGGTGTGTGCTATTCCTGTACAAAACTTTATTTTGTGTTCAGCTACATCTGCTGAGTACAAAGATAACCCCATTGTATGTCTTTGGCACTATTTTGTCAAGCTACAGTGCCATGTAGGAGACCTGTCCATTTCAGTATTTACAGAGAATTTTGAGAGACAGATTCGAT